TCTGTCTCTGTCTCTCTGTCTCTGTCTGTCTCTCTCTCTGTCCCTCCGTTCCTCCTTCCTCCTTCTCTTCCCTCCCTCCCTCATTATTTTCCTGTCTCTCATATTGGATGTGAGCTCTTTGAACTTAATTGAACTTTTGATCAATTGATTGAACTCCCCCCTTCAGTAGGTATCCCAGCATCATAGGATCATAGGTTTAAATATGAAAGGACCTTAGAAATCATCTAATACAGATCTACTTTTAAATATTCAATTCAAATCAATAAATAGTTCTTAAGTTCATATTACATACCAAGTGCAGTGTTGGGCACTAGCTCTCTTTAGATAGTGGTCTCTGGAGGGAAACAAAGGCTCTGGAAAGATGAAGACATGTAGAAGAACTGATACCTTGATCACATCCTTTTTCAGCTGCCTTCTCAAGACACTTCAAGGAATTTCCTCTTGGATGAGACTGGGGACTCTCTTGCTCAGTTGAGCTGAAATCTCTTGCCCCCAGTGGGAGAAGTAATTCACTCTGTATTCTGATGTTCTTGGATATTATTATCTTTTTCTCAAATTTCTGTTTACTTTTGGATTGGATAAATGGGTTGTTTGCTATTCACTCTGTGTGATGGCCTTTGCGTAACTGGTATTTGGTGAAAAGTAAGTGAAGACTTTGGATATAGGTTGGGGTACTCATTCTCTGTCATGTTATATCAATCAGGAGAACAGCTTGAATCTAAAGTTTCCCTAGGCTAAAAATAATTAAGTGAATAGATGGGTATAATTCTACCTTAGAACCTGCTCTCTGAAGAAAGCAGAACAGCTAGCCTTGTGGTACCAATCTGTCTGCCTGGCAAGAATCAAATTCTCTCTGGGAGAAGGGTATGTAAGTCTAGAAGTATCTATTTATGTCTCCCTGTAAGCCACATTTAAACAAATTATGTGGACACACACAATCTACACACAGATACTTACCAGGCAAAAGGATTTATTGATATTCTTAGTATCTAAGTGCAGCATATTTTCAATAATTGGAAGAGGAGTAAGCACAGGTGGGAACGTTCATTTCCCATAACCCCATCTCCATACTGAAATGAGAAGCAGAACGAGTACCAGGCCAAGAGCAGATGGCTCCATGGGAATTTTCCTTACTGCTATAACACTGGAGCGTTTAGAATCCAAAGCTTATGAGAAACACACAGGAGCTCAGCAAGCAAACAACTCCTTGTTGTCTTGGACAATTCTGGCTTTACTGCCAATGGACTTTGACCTGCTGGTAAAGATAAAAATGTGAGAGCATCCTTTAATTTATTTTGAATTTTTTATGGAGAGTATAGTGAATAACATGGTAACAAACTGTCTCTGAGAAATGGCCTTTCATTCCCTCATCATTTTCGAATAATAAAGTTATTTATTTGCAACAAATTATTGAAGCAAGGTACTAGCTGCAGGTGGTAGACAACAGAAAGGTATAAAAAAAACCCAACCTCAATTGATATTTTTTGTTTTTATATCTCACCTTCTTCTCCTCCCTAGAGAGTCATCCCTTAAAACAAAGACTATAAAGGGGGGGATGGGGTGGGAAGAATCCCTTCAGCAAAACCAACGGTTCTGGCAACATATGCAGTGTTCCATACCTGTAGCCTGAACTCTGCAAAGAAGGGAAGGAAAATTTATTTTTACAGATCTAAGCTTGATCTTTATAATTACACAGTGTTCAGTTTAGGCTTTACGGTCATTGTTCTTTCCCATTTACCCTGTGGTTTCATTATGCATATTGTTTTTCTGGTTCTGCTAACTTCACTTTGCATCTTTTCATGTAATCTCGTGCTTCTCTGTATTCTTCATAGTTATCATTTATTAAAGGGTACTGATAGTTTACTTCACCATGTATCACAACTTATTAGCTATTACCCAATGACTGACATCTACTTTGTCTCCATTTCTTTACTACACCAAAAAATGCTGCTATAAATATTTTTATGTAGTTGGCAAGCTAATAGAAGAATGAATTCTCAGAACTGTCCCCTATGGTTATGGGCCATTATAAAATGTGACATTTATTATTTATATATGTTTTAAAAAGCAGTCTCCTGATCAGTTTCTGTTTAAAATAGATTTCTATTAATAACTTTTGTTTTTATATCACCTAGATTTCCCTCCTCCCAGAGAACAATCCCTTACAAAACTAATTCTTAAGAAGGAGAAGAGGGAAAATATCCACAAAAGTGCTAAACACATGGAAAAATCTGAAATAATATGCAATATTCCATGTCCATGGATCTTTCCCAAACTCTTGAAAGAAGTATGGGGGAGGGGCAAGGTTGCTCCTTAAAATTTTGTAATATTCGTCGTCTGTTCTGTTTTATATTTGTCCTTTCCATTTACGTTAATGGTCTCTACTTAAATGAATACTTTATTTAAGGAATATTGCGCACACAGTTATACCTAGAGAGGTGAAATGACTTGCCCCAGGGTACACAGGTTCCCACATTCCAAAGCCAGCTCCACTTTAAACTTCATCGCGTTGCCTTTAAGTTAGCAATCTCATGTTGTTGTTGTTGTTGTTGTTGTTGTTGTTTTTATGCCATTGAGAAAAGTACTCTATGGCCATAGAAATGTGTTGTTATAAATCTAAGGCTGTTCTCTTGAGAAAGAAACTTGTGATCCGAGATTTGGAGCTATCTGGAAGGAGTATTAGAAGTCATCACTTTCCATTTCCTCTTTAGTGGGGACTTCGCCTAAGTCACAGAGCTAAGTGGGCAGGCAGAGATGCAGATGAAGGTCCTCTGACTCCAGATCCATAGAATTTTACCTTATATCAAGGACCAGCCACTCCCTCTTAGCAAGGGGTAGAGACCCTATGCACTGACTTGTCTACTTCTTTGCCCTGCCCTGTTCTCTTATCACTCTCCCTGAGTGTGGGACCCACACCAACTTCCAGCTAATTCAGATGCTAAATAGAAGTTAATCTATTCTCCTCCTGAAGGCCAGGCTTCACCATCTCTGCTTTTGTTCTTTTCCTTTCAACATCTCCTCTTCTTTCTCATGCATCCGGATTTCTGAACTACTTCCACATCAAGAAATGTCGACCAATAGGACCAATCTTGCCTTTGACCTTAATCCTGGGGCTTTAACTGGTCTCCTCCTGAAGTCTATCAGCTAGGTATTAGAAAAAGAACAGGACAGAATGAAACAGCACAATGAAGGGAAGGGAGAGAGATTAGGAGAGTGAAGGGAGGGATGGTGTTCATTTGTTCCAGTCATAGTAGCCTCTACACTACATTAAACAAACTACCTTCCCAAACACCTAATGGGATTTTCAGGTGGAGAAACCTTGATCTAGTTAATCGTGGTGTCATGGAAAGAACTCTGGGCTCTAATTCATGAATCCTCAGACCTTGAAAGGACTTCAGAAGCTACTGGTTATGACCTCCCTGTCCCAGCATTCATCTATCTTCAGCTTGCAAACCTCTGATGATGAAGAGGTCACTATTCACTTTAATTTTTTTTGGAGAGCTATAATTATTAGGAAGTGTTGGCTGTCCTGCATAGCTTCATGTCACTTTCAAATCTGATAGACAGTTTACACTTTCATCACAGTCACTGAAAAAAAAATTTGTTGAACAGTGAAGGACCAAGGACAGAGCCCTAGGACCCTCTATTAGAGATCTCCATTCTAGCTGACATCTTCCTATTAATGATTATTCGTAGTGTGTGGTCATTCAAGCTGTCCGGAATCTATTTAACTGCAGTATCACCTAGCCCAAATCTTTCCATCTTGTCCCCAAAGATAACCTAAGGGATTTCGTCAAATATGTGTGTGAGTGTGTATGGGGTGGGGGAGACAGTATTCCCCCATCATTATGGAGCCATCTGTTATTATTTTCCTTTTTTAATTTTATTTTATTTCTATTCCAACCTCAGATACCAAAAGCAAGCAAGCATTTCCATATACAAGGTAGATCAGGAAAATATGATTGTATATGGTTACACAAACATCAATTACATGGGGCTTGCTTTTTAAGATCATTAAATATGTCTTACTTTTAAAACTGTACTGCTTTGTCTTCCTGAAATTCCTTTTGTCATCTTCTGTGCATTTGCTGCTAAATGACTCTTCTTTAGGGTAGAGTAACACTGTCACTAAAGGCATGCCTCTGGTTTAGTTCATGAAAAGTTTCCCAGGCTTCTATGAAATTGACATTCCTTACAAAACCAACATAGGACATTATATATGTATACTATGAGTTTCTCAGCCATTTCTCTTGATGGGTACTTCCTTTGTTTCCAGTATTTTGGTAAAACAAAAAAAAACTATAAATATCTTTGCCCCTTATTCTTCTTCATCATTTCATCTCTTTGGGGTATTGTCCTAGTAGTAAAAGCATATGCATAATTTGATAAATTTTGGGGTATAGTCCCAAATTGCTTTCCACAATGCAAACAATCATTTGACAGTTATGCTAACTGTGTTAGTGTTTGCATGATGAGTTTGGAAACTAGATTGCAAAGGGCTGAGAGTGAATGAAATCATAAGGGGAAACTGTAAAGGGAAGTCATTTCCAAACAAGTCCCCTATACTCCACTGTCTTTGAATAATCCTGATATGTCCTGCCCAGTGCTCACTGCCTTCTTCAAGACCCAGATCAAAACCTAACACTTCCAAAAGGAAGCCTTAGGTTAATCCTCCCCAAATACTACATTTCTTGCTAATTCCAAATACCTTAATCACTTCAATCTTCAATTTATAATCTATTTCAGTTTTCCTTACAAATTCCTGATAATTATTCTCTTGTCCTTACATGTGCTTCCTTCTTTCTGTTGGGTTAGAAATTCCATTAGGATTAGGACCCTATCTTCTGATTCTTTTGTCTGCCCCATTAGTGCTCTGACCACACTCTGATTACTATATGATTACTTACTGCTCTATGTTTGTGAATATGAGTGTCAGCATCTAATACACAAGCCATTTCACCTACAAGAACTGAGATTCAGACCTCCTGCTCACACTCTACCTGCTCCATTTTCATCAGGAAACAGTCAATGAAGTCCTGAGGATTGCTTGGGTCCAGTGTCCTTTGGTGCTCCTTCACTTCTTCCAAAATAAATTCATGTAGTAAATCAAAAATTTTAATTACTTTGTGATGAGATCCAGGGAGATAATGTATTAGAGATGGAAAAGAATTGTAGACCTACAAAGAAGAATTTTATTTCATACTTTATTGGAAAAAGACAATAATTCTTTACTCTAGTATTTGGATAATGTTCAGAAGAGGGCTCTATAAGTGTAGGACAAATGCCCTTTGCAAAATAATGACTTTTCCCATCATTTGCTATACAAACCTCCTAAAATATTTTAGTATTCTTCTCCTTGGTTGCCTGAGACTATGTTGGCCTTTACTCTGAATCCTTACTTCCCACAGAAAAGTTCTCATCCTTTCTCATTATGAGGTCTTCTAAAAGCTCTTCCTGCAGTGTTCCTCTGGGACAGGTAACTCATCTGCTAATCTGATCCAAGCTCAGGTGCTCAAGGGAAAGGTCAACTTCTCTATAGTAACATTAATTTTGACATTTAGCCCTTGTGATCAGTGGGTGAACTACTGGAAGGAGGGACCTTATATTGTACCTCAAATCAGAACACATAGGGTGATATTCTCTGTCTTTAGTCACAGTCAATGAAGAAGAAAACATCAACCCAAATCAGCATGGTGCTGTTGTGCCTTCCAATGGAATACATGATCAACACTATCTCCTTGCAGTACTTTCTTAGAAATAATGAAAAAAAATTTCTTGAACTCCAAAATGAGACAACAGTGGCCTTACCTCATCCATGGGGAATTTAGAATCTTGAAGTTTTCTCCTAAAAGCTTTATTTATCCTAACAGGAGAAAGAGAGAGACTTTAACATTGCTATTGTGATCAAAAGGAAAGCTTGCCTGCCTTTAGGTAGGACCTGACTGGCCTGCTTTCCCCTCTAGCTAACATTCTAACTGATATTTCTGTGGCACAGCAAGGTTGAAAATAAACCCCCTTTTATGAAGCATCTGATTTCATCCACATAAAAATCCTAAGTGCAAACAGGATAATTCCCAGTATATAGACAAGGTTGCTGAAGCTCAAGAAAATTAGCTGAATTAAGCCACAACTAAAAAGGATCAAGAAGTGGAATTCAAAGCTAATTCTCTCCTGACACCAGATACTGTGCTTTTCCTACCAAACCACATCATCTTCCATTTCTAAATCCCTATTCATCACATCACCCAAAACAGCTTTTCTTTTCAGATTCTTCATATCTACCTTTAAATTTTATTTTATTTTTTTTAATTACTTATCCCAGGATGCAGTTTGCTGACACTGGGCTGGAAGTCTTGCTATTTCAAATGTTCTTAGGTTCAGGGTTCTGGGTTGTCAAAGGAGAGATGATGTCAAGGTGTTGATGCTAAGTTTCCTGGACTGGTATATATTGCCTCTTGTCCCTCCCTCAGGATGCCACACTGCTTTAGCCAGGCTGGCCCATCTGCCTTATGAATAGCAATTGGCTGGCAATTGGCAGGCAACTGGTCATGATGGCTGGCCCCTTCTCCACAGCGTTTGCTTCCCCAGATGAGAGCTGTGAGCACTAGACTAGGACCAAGGGTCTAGAGATTACTGCCACGCTTTTGTCCCTTGTACTTATCTATAAGTTGGTGGTAGCTGTTCATCAGTGGTTGATAGCAGTAATGGGAAAGATGGACCTCTTCTCCACAGTGATTTATCCTCTTCATGAGAACTGGAGAGATTGGCCTAGAAGGGATTTGGAGGCGAGGAGGACACTGCTATTCCCAAGGTCTTGGACTCGAGGGCCTGGTCTGTCTCCATCAGGGTAAGAGGAGAGATAGTGGTCAAGATAGTGGTTACATTAAAGAGGCCCAAGGATAGTCTTGTAGATACTCACACTTAGGAGACTGAACAGCTACTGAGCAAAACATAAAGAAAATCCTTGGACTCCCCAAAATGATCCTGTAGGAAAACCTTTCACCCCTAGAATTGTTGACCAAAGGTAGCAGAACCAATGCTGCAAGCTCTGCTCCCTCTGAAAAGGAATGAAAATACATAAAGTATTCCTGTAAATGTTCCTCAGCATGCTGCCTCCTCACAAGATTAGCATGAACTCAGTAGCAGAGCTGCACTGCCTCTCATTTCTTCTCTCAGCAGTCTGGACCCTTCAGGGCTTCTAGGAATGACCACATGGCCATGGATATATTGCCACAACGGGATGGTGGTTTTAGACTACAGTAAATTAATTGCACCAACCTCAGTCTGCATAAGCTGCCAGGGATAGGAAGGATATTTCTAAGGTCAGGGGTAACAAAGTAAAGAAACACCAACCTTTTGTTTTTTTTAACTCCTCCACAAGGTGCTTTGCCACTTCTTGGACTCGTTCTTCAATGCTCTTCCTCCCCATCCCAAAATTCTTCAGGGTCATGAGGGAAAATCAGCAGATTTGCTTCCATTTCTGTCTGTTGCTTACACCAAGTTCTATAAAAGGGAGGAGGAAGAAGAAAAGGCTTAGACTCCAAAGATCCTTGCAGCCCATGTCAAAAAGTCCATGCCCAAGGACCCTTCAACCACTCCCCTTGTTCTAGGAAAAGTGAAGTGGGGAAGATATCAGTTTACTTTCTCCTCTATCAATATTGTTTCCTGTTCCATCCTAAACATCATTTTCCTTCAACACAGTCACAAATACATCAGATGGCCCTACACCCATATCTCCTTCCAGGAAACGAAGTGGACACAAAGAGGGAGATGACAGGCAATATTTATACACACACGACACACACACACACACACACACACATATATATATATCTCCTACAATCATTCGGTGTCCCAATAATATATTTTACATATATGTGTGTGTGTGTGTATGCATGTGTGTGTATATATGTATATATATATATATGTACACACACATACATACATACACATACATATATATATATATATATATGTACACACACATACATATATACACACACACACACACACACACACATACACATATGGGACACCAAATAATAATAATATAATATTTTATTTATATATTGTGTGTGTGTGTGTGTGTGTGTGTGTGTGTGTGTGTATGGGACACCAGATGGTTGTAGAGTAAGTTAGTTTGTAGCTGTGCATCGTTTGACCCAAGGAGCCTGAAAGATGATAATTTTTTTTCTGACTAGACTGAAGTGATAGTCTCCCTAATTCACACAGGGATGAAAGAGTGAGAGTCTCTGTTTCTTCTCTTTTTGTGGATTACTAGGTGTCTCAGACTCATCTTCATGAGTTCAAATCCAGACTCAGGCACGTATGATTTTTCACAGTGGGCAAGTCACTTAATCCTGTTTGCCTCAGTTCCTCATCTATAAAATGATCTGGAGAAGGAAATGATAAAGCACTCCAATATCTTTACCAAGAAAACTCAAATGGGATCACAGAGTGTTGCACTTGACTGAAATGACTGAACAAGAGGCATACGTAGTAAGAACAGAAAGATACATAAGCTAACTAGCAATCCCTATATTAGATGGTTTCTTAGCTTTCTTTTTTTTTCCCTAAGGAAAGATAGTATGTGGACTTGCTATTTATTGAGAAATGATTGTTTAGTCAAAAGAAATTTAACAATTATAAACAAAATTGTAGTTAATTTGAGCCTTTGATACCTTTAACATACACACATGATATGCACATACTATACCTCAATACATCACATCCTTCTTTCCCTGAATACATTATGCCTTCCTACCTTCAGATATCACCCTCTGATTCCAGACATACAATGAGGACCTCACCTCACTACCCTCATTCTGGGAACTATACTTTTGCCTATGATCTTATTTCTATAGGACTTTTATCAGGATCAAATTCTTCACCCTCTGCTTCAAGATCCTTCATAATGGAACCCTAGAAGAAGAATGTGACTGATGAAAGAAAAGAAACTCCCCTTCAATGCAGGTGAAGAGTTGAAGAAAAGGCAGGGCAAAATGCTGCTTGGGAAATTTTAACCTTTTCCCATTGTTCTGAATCTGATTTCACTGAATCATAGGCTGTTGTAGTCAAAGGATCTTAGATATCATCCAGTCCTCTCCTTTCATTTTATACATGAAGAATCTGAGAAAGAGTAAGTGACTCACCCAAAGTCAAGAATGGTTAAGTCTCAGACTAAGCATAAGAATCAGGAATCCTGACCAAAATCCTGTATTCTTTCCACTCCAGATCATGAAATGAAATTAAAATAATATGACAAACACCACCATTAGTGCTATCGTAGACACATCAAACTGATTACTTTCAACATTGAATTCATTGTCTTCCTCACCCAAACCTCTCCTTCTTCTGTCCTTCCCTATTTCTGCCACCGTTTCAGTCACTCAGGTTCACAACCTCAATGGGATACTTCATTCCTCATTCTTCCCTCACCCTCACATCTAATTAGTTGTGTAATCATTTCCTACTCTATATAAGCTTTCTTTTATTCTTTTGGGATTTGTTTGTGAGCTAATCAGGATTCAGAGACCTGCCCAGGGTCACACACCTAGTCAGTGTCAAGTGTCTCAGGCAAGAATACAACTCAGGTCCTTCTAACTCCAGAGCCATTGCTTTATCCACTTCGCCACCTAGCTGACCCTACATCTGTTTTCACAACTGTTCCCTTCTCTTCATCCATGTATTCTTGCCCATGTCTCCATCAATGTTTTCCCTGGAATGGTGCAGTATTCCTGTCTCCAGTCTTCTCTGTCCAATTCATTCTCCACATAGGCAGAGAGTGATTGGACTGACCAGCCACAGTCAGACACACTGTACCTTCACCCTGACATAGTGATATTTCTCTGGTCCTTTTCAAGCACAAAAGACAACAACCAAAGTGATTTTCCTAAAATGATAAGCTGAACATATCATTCTCCTACTCAACAAACTCTGGTTCAATATTACTTTCAGAATCACATACACATAAACTCCTCTGCTAGGTTTTTAAATGCATTCACAACCTGGCCCCAACCTAGCCTTTCAACCTTACTGTACATTATTCCCCTCAAAGCACACCATGCTGAATGGGGCTTTTAGCTGTTCCTCATACATGGTGCTCCTCCCTAGTATTGTACCCCAGCCTTGCCTCAGTCTCCTAGAATCCTCAGCTCATCTCAAGTGCCACCTTGTAGAATCAGTCCTTAGGTGATCTCCATAGCTGCTGGTGTCCTCACTTTACATCCATTGTGTGTGTGTGTGCTATTTATGTATAAGTCTATATATATATGTATATCTATCTATCCATATATATGTAAATGTACATGTTGTCTCTTCCCCACCACATTTAAATATAAACCCCCTAGAGGGCACTAACTAAATTCATGTTTGCTCTTGCTTCTCCCAACACTTAACCCAGTGCTTGGCACATAATATGCGCAAGTCTTCCTCCATTTCATTTCCCTCTACACGCTCTATACTCCAGTTCCTCCTACATGGGACTCCATTTTCCATTTCTGTACCTTCACACTGGCTCTCTCCTTCCCCTTTCTCTCCCCCATGGCTTTAATGCTTTCTTTCCTCCTAGTTTCTTTGGTCTTTTTTAACACCAAGCTCAAATTCCACCTTTTGTAGGAAGCTATTTCTGACCTCCATGGGCTGCCATGATGTACTGTTGATTTATGTCAAGCCTGCAGTCTAATAAGATTTTCCAAATTTTTTTTCAGATAAACTGCTGTCTAATCACCAAAGCAGCTAGGTGGAACAATGGATAGAACACTTGGCCTGTCGTTGAAAGATCTCACTTCAAATCCAGCCATAGATGCTTACTAGCTAAACTAGTCATTAACCTCTTTTTGCATCAGTTTCTTCAACTGTAAAATGAAGAGTAGTAATAGCACCCACCTCCTGCAATTGTTACAAAGATCAAATAGATAGTACTTATAAATCATTTAGCACAAAGTAGGTACTGTATTTGTTAGTTTTTGTTGTTGGTTCATTCATTCATTTCTCCTCCTGACTTACTCAAATGTGTGCTACTTTTGCTGTAGCAAAGAAATGTGTTTGCCTTCTAGTCAGTTATCAGGAGTTGTAATGAAAAAGGTTATCAGAGACTTTGGCCAGGCAATAGCTGATAGAATGCTGTGAGAGAGGGATTTTTGTCCTAATTTTAGCTCTAGTAGGCTAAGCAAGGTGACATATTCCAGAAGGAGCCAGATTATTAAAATATTAAGATTGTTTCAAAAAGTATAGATGGGGGGTCAGAGCCAAGATGGCAGATTAAAAACAATGATTTGCTTGAGCTCTCCCCCAACCAACCACAAAATACTTGTCAAAATGGCTCTAAACAAATTCTAGAGCAGCAGAACCCACGAAAACACAGAGTAAAACAAATTTCCAGCCCAAGTCAACCTGGATGGTTGATGGGAAAGCTCTGTTTCACTGGGTTGAGAGAGGAGTTCAGTTCATTGTGGGTCTTGCAGCAAAGACCAGGCCTCAGTGAACCTGGAATGGCCTCAAGGGACTGAATCACTAGCAATTGAAGTGGTGTCCAGACTTCTTAACCCACAAATGCCAAAGACAATTTAGATGCTCAGTAGGAAAGGTCTGTCAGAAATGGGTGAGAGAGGAGTGTGGTCTGGCCCCAGTCCTGGCACAGCCCCACAACGGTGACTGCTTCTGGAGCCCTAGGCCTACAGATGATGGGTGGATCAAGTGGCTGATTAGAGGGGGATTGCAGGGATTGCTTTTCTGGTGATCAGGAAGGATTCTGTTGTTTGGTTCCTGATTACATGTGGGTCGCTGACATGGGTTGGTCATCCTGGGGCAAGGAGGAGTGCTAGCATGGCAGAGCTTCTGGCAGCAGTTAAGAAGGAATCCTTCTCACAGTTCCAAGACAGAAAAGACTGCTTGTTGTCACTATTAGACCAGAGAACAGACAAGGAAATGAGTAAATACCTCACCTTTGATTGTACCACATTGGAAGAACTAAAATTTCACAGGTCACTAGAAGTGTCTCTGGAAACAACTGCACAAAGCCCCTGAAGCTTGGGAAAATACATTTTCCACACTAAAAGCAAACCCCTACCTTAACAAAGGGTTTAAAACTCAAGTCATTGGCTGGGAACATGAGGAAACAATGCCCCAAAAAAAGTCAGACCACAGAATCTTACTTTGGTGACAAAGAAGATGAAAACATACAACCAGAAGAAGACAACAAAGTCAAAGCTCCTACATCCAAAGCCTCCAGAAAAATATGAATCAGTTCCAGGTCATGGAAATGTGTAAGAGAAGTACAAGAAAAACTGGGAAGAGAAATGAGAGTGATGCAAGAAAAGAAGTCAACAGCTTGCTAAAGGAGACCTAAAAAAATACTGAAGAAAATAGCACCTTAAAAAATAGACTAAACCAAATGGCAAAAGAGATCCAAAAAGCCAATGAGGAGAAGAGTGCCTTAAAAAGCAGAACTGGCCAAATGGAAAAGGAAATTCAAAAACTCACTGAAGAAAACAAT